CCGTGACTTTGGGCCGGGCGCTTAAACTCTCTGGGCCTTTCCCCTCATCTATAAAATGGCTAGCGGCTGTTAGGAAGAAACAGTNCCGTGACTTTGGGCCGGGCGCTTAAACTCTCTGGGCCTTTCCCCTCATCTATAAAATGGCTGGCGGTTGTTAGGAAGAAACAGTAGAGAGTCGGGCGCTGGGGATACAAAGACCAAAGGAAAAACCGCGTCCTGCCCTGCAGGCGCTTACATTCTACTGGAGTGGAGATGAAGCATCAACTTGGTCTTTGCTAAGTAAATACATCTCTCCAGGAGTTTGGAGTGCGTATGTGTGTGTCTGTGTTTGCGCTCGCGTACGGTCTCTGGGTTTACAGCCTCCATAGAAGATTTTTTCATCATTCTAGGGTTTTGGGATTTCTCTCGTTCGGATTATAGAAGACCTATTTTCTCGTTCAGCTTCGCTTTGCCTGTGTAGAGGCAGTTTTTCTCCTTGGATTTATTTGACTCTGAGCTCGGAAGCTTGCCCCACAGCACAGGAAAATAGCTTCATTTTTGCCAGAGTCTGTGGCTCTGAAGTATTCGTTAAGAATATGGACAAAACCCAAACCTCGCTCGGGGACCAGCCCCGGCTCGCTCGCGTCCTGGATCCCAGAACGCCGCTGCAGAGATATTTAGATCGGATCATAGGATTTAGAGCCTGAAGAGAGCTTAGGAATTGTCTCCTGCAACTACTCGAGTTTATTTTATTTTTTGTTAGTCTTTTATTGATGCTTTTTGTTGATATTATAGTCATTTCCTGTTACATCACCCCACCCAGGGAGCCTTTTCTGGTAGCAAAGAACAGTTTAAATAAAACCAGTCGACGTAGCCGCTCTTCTGGACGGCGTATCCATAATCTCTCCTCTCCAAGAAAACAGTCGCTTCTTTTTGTAGTTGGGAAAACTGAGGCCCAGAGAGAGAGAGGATTTGTTCAAATCCCGCCCGCCCCCACCCCCACTCCCCCGCGGTTGGGAAGCCGAGGGGCTAGTTCAGGTTGTCGGAATCTATATCCACGGCTCTTTCTCGGGGCTCCCTGCAGCTGTGGTTTGAACAAGGCCCTGGTCACCCTTCCCACTTGCTCACAGGACAGGCACCAACCTCAGATCCTCCGAACATCCTTCGGCGACAGTCGAGAGATTCACCCTCCACAGGAATTTCTCTCAACCCTCTTTGATCGAGATTGTCTTCCTGTCCTGGGTTCTCTAGAGGGAGAGGGAGTGGGGTGGACAGGAGGAGTCCTCCATTCTCTCGCTGCTTGCTGGGGAAAGAAGGGTCGTCCCTGAGACTGATTCTCTTAGTGGCCCTTTCCCCCCTCCTCCAGAGCTCCTCCTCCTTAGTGCCCAGGGTTTGGGGGACTATACTGGTTCTTCCTCTCCATTCTCAGACTCAGTTTGTAAGCTCCAAGCTTGTCCCTCCATGCTTATGACCTTCTGCAGCCCTCGTCCCCACTCTGTTGCCATTCTGGATGTGTGCCCCTCACTGAAGTGGTCACTTTCCTTTCCACACTTCTCCGCTCCCAGCTTCCAGGGGTCCACACTCCAGAGAACTGTTAACCTTAGATTATTCATTAGGCTCAGCCTTTCAAGCTGCCCCCACAGGGCCAAGGACAGTGTGTAGTGCATGAGAGTTTCTGTATTGTGTGCCATGGATTTGTGTGTGAGTCAGGGCTAGGTAGGTACATCACGGTGTCATTGTGACCTGGAATGTCTCTCAGAGGAACATATGTTCCTATTGTGATAGCTGATGATTTTGAAACAGCTCCAAGGACTTGGCTGGTTCTCATATTTATTTGGGGTAGACCCCTTTAGGGCTGTGTGTCTGCAACTGGCCATGCCGGTGGCAGTACATAATTAGCCTTGTGCATATGGCATTTGTGGGACTATATGCTAGTATGTCTCAGTGTGGGTGAATATTTGGTGTGGGGGGGAGTAGGGTGGAGAGGGTGGGCTTGAGTTTGGGCCTCTTCTTGTCTGGAGTCTACTCTTGAGTGTATTTGCACAGGTGATGCCTAAGTGTGTGTGTGTGGCTTATATCTGACTATATGAGTGGTCAGCTATTTTTCTCTTTGAGTAGGCCTCCATTCAGGTCCTCCTATGATGTCACACTAGAGCTTGGAGGTGATCATAGGCTTTCTGACAGAGTACCTGGGCATTGGGGAGTTTTGACTTGTTTCATTGAGTCTCTTTCCTGGGGTGGGACAGGAAAATGGAAGCAATCATTAGCTTTGGATAGAGAAGACTTGAGTTCAAATCACAGCTGTGCCTCTTGCGTTCAGTGTGACCTTGGGCAAGTAATTTCCTTTCTTTAATCCTCAGTCTCCTCTTCTGTAAAATGAAGGCACTGGACAGCCCTTTCCACCTTCTAATCTAGGATCATGTGCTGGAAAGGATTAAAAAATGAAAAGGAGGAAAGGAAACAAAATTGTCTTCTATGTATCATGTGCTTTACACATATTATCTCATTTGATCCTCACAAGAAATGTGGGAGGTAGATGCTATTTTTTACTCATTTGATAGCTGAGGAAACTAAGGCAAACAGAAATGAAGTGACTTAGTTAGGGTCACGCATCTTGTAAGTGGCTGAGGTATGATTTAAATTCAGATCTTTTGACTTGGGGTCCAGTGCTTTATTGTCTACCACTAGCTGCCACTGCCACCCAGGCACCCCAAGATAAGGCCCCCATCTGCTGTTCCAAGAGGCTTGTCATCAGGTTGTCAGAGGATGAAGGCGAATGAATTTTTCCAGCCACAGACACTGATGGGCTTCTCCTAAGTCAGAGAAGCCCTGTAATTTGTATCCGTGGATGAAACTGTTAAACTGAGAAAACCAGGGATACTTGAGGTATTGAAAAAGCAGGTGCCTGTAGGTGTAGCAAATAATCCTGTGAGTGTGTGTGCATGTGCGTGCGTGCGTGCTGCATGCCTGTGTGTGTGTGTGTGTGTGTGTATGTGTGTGTACACCCATGATTGTGCTATATGTGCATTGCCTGGCTGCTTCCTTTGGTGCCTGGATGGCTACATGTAACTGCTTTGTGCAATAGTCTCCCTGGTCTTTGCCTGTCTCTGGGTCTCAGAAGGATGGGCGGCCTGTCTGTGGATGTTGATATGTGATACGGATTTGTGAATGTGTGGAGAAGGGGGAATAGGGATACTCTGCCCCTCTTGCCTAGTTTCTAAAACCTGAGATCTCCACCTGCCCATCCCTACCCCCAGCTGTAGTATCTTTTGCAGTCTGGGAGTTTCATCTCAAAATCTACCTGCTCCACAAAAAAAACACCAGCTTGACCAGTTCTTCTCTGTGTTGATGGCTGCCTTTCAGCCTTCTCCCCCAACCCCACTTCAAGTGCCAGCTTCCAATGCCCGGGTGTAACTTGGTTTACTATTTATCCATTCCCCAGCTAGCTAGACAGTCAGCTATGCATTTAACTGGCCATCTGTTACCTGGTTCTTCGTCTTCAGGATTTATCAGTCTATCCAGGTCTTTTCTTCCTCTTCCCCTTTATGGGATCCACTTTTTTCACATCTATTACACACACCTCCATCTTGTTGTCTCTGTCATTTATTTTATCTTCACTTTGCCTGTCTGCCGCTCCAAAACAGGAAATAGTTGCCTCTTTTCAGCTCCTTTTCAGGTTCATTTGGCCTCCAGAAGCAGCCTCATCTTGCCCCAGTGGCTTAGCATCTTTTGGTGTCTGCCATCTTCCCAGAGTTCATTTACATTCACACATCGATCCTGAATGCTTTCTTCAAGGGCCATAGTTGTACAATAGGTTAGAGAGTCCCAAAGGTCCCATACAGCTCTGTTAGTCTCGGTTTCTAGGATTTTCTTATTATCCATGGTCTGTCCTCATTTCCCTCTCCCTTTCTGAAGTCTTCCCTTCCCTTCCCTTCCCTCTTCTTCCCATGGTGCTTTCCCCTCTGCCCAGTCCCAGCTATTTCCTGTGGGGAAGCACAGACTTAGAGAAGAAAGGGAACGCTGAGACCACACAGTCCAACCTCAGACCTGAACAGTGCTTAGTACTGTACCTAGGACACAGTAGGAGCTTAATAAATGCTTACTGACTGCACAGGAATCTCCTCTACAGCCTCCCAACTGGCACCCAGTTGCCACCTGAACACTTCCAGTTATGTGGAACTCAGTAAATCAAGGCACTGAATTCCACTTTGGAGAGGCTCATTTATTGGATAGTTTCTTCTCATATTTGAGGGGAAATATGAATCCTCCCCCCAGCTTTCACTTTTTTTTCAGCTTCCTGGTTCTGCTTTCTGGGGCTTGGCGGAACAAATCCAATCCCTTCAAGAAGACAGCTAGGATAACCTCATTGTCTCCTCTTAGAGACAGCTAGGTGGCTCAGTGGCTAGAGCACTGGGCCTGGAGTCAAGAAGACCTGAGTTAAAATGTGGCCTCAAATATTTACCAACTGTGTGATCCTAGGCAAGTCACTTAACTCTGTCTGGCTCAGTTTCCTCACCTGTAAAATAAGGATAATAATAGCACCTACCTCCCAGGGTAGTTGTGAGGATCAAAATGAGATAATATTTGTTAAATGCTTAGTCAGTGCTGGCAAACAGTAAGTACTTAATGAAGGTTTATTCCCCTTCTCTCCTCTATGGATTGTTGTCCTTGAGTCATTTCAGTCACTTTTGACTTTTTGTGTCCCCATTTGGGGTTTTCTTGGCAAAGGTATTGGAGTGGTTTCCCCT